ATCTATATAATATAATAATTTTAAATATAAAACTAATTAAGTTAAATATATATAATTAATTATAATATAAATATAATATTTTAATATAAATGCTAATATTCTAAGAATAATACAGCTCTCAGTAGCCATCGGTATCAATCACGACGCAAGTGTATTGTGTTGCCGTCTATTACAATTTTCAAATAACTCCAAGACTTACAACACGAATTCTATACCACTCGTTGGCCGCCAGGGTCAGGCAAGCATTTTTGTGGAACACACATTTAGAGAAACATCTAAAGAAACATTGTATATAGCTAACGAAATAGATAATTTAGTAATTTTTAAAAAATATATATATATATATAAAATTTTAATTTCAAATTACATATGATATGTAAGTAAAAAAAAAAAATAATAATTATATCTCATTATACAATGAAAAAAAACATTGTATATATGGAGAACAAACTAAGCAAGAAGATCATCTTAAACAGATATCAAAGAAGCTTCAAAATCAAATAAAGAAAAGCAAGAACAATTTTGTTATATATGTATATATAAGTATGTATAGTCCGGGGAAGAAGGGGCATGGTGTTGGTGTCCTCATGCGTCTCTTCACAACCTAGTATCATCACGCTCAAACCGTTCACAGGCCTCACCTCCATCTCAGCCTTCCCGGCGATCGTCCGCCGGCTTAACAACGATGTTCAGTTTGAAGAGTTCGATGTGTGCAAGTACGAGGTAATTATTTTTATGACTAGATTTAACCATATGAATTTTATTTACCCTCTTTTTTTTTTTGTTTTTGTAAAGACCTTACTCTTTACAAGTTTTGGGTTATAAAAATTAAATACAAAGAAAATTAATCATAGAGAGAATATATTCTTTTACAAACAATTTGGAGCTGAATTTTGTATTGCATATTCTTTTACAAAGAAAGAATAAGTTCTAATTTGGAATTGGAATAGAATTTTAAAAGTAATTAATGCCACTTTTGATACATGACAATAACAGAGAGAAAAGAAATGAGATTCAGAACGAACCCATTGATTCGGAAAGTAGTGCACTAAAAAAATTGATACTAAAAATGCAGAAAAAGAATATTTTTTTAGCAAAAACAAAAAAAAAAAAAGGAAAAAAACACAATATCCAATCTCAATTATGTGAAAAATAAGATTTTATAATATCTCACTTATCATATCATATAACTTTAACTGAAATTTTGAATGACAAAACATTTTTTATTTTTGTATTATCATTCTTACTCTCTTCGTCCCTATCTCATAGACTACTAAATATTTTTTTATATAAAATTTATCTTAAAATAATAATTACTTTTATTTTAATGAAAGTAATTTTTTTATTTTAATATTTTAATTATTTATTATATAGTTAAAATAGTTTTTTATTTTTATTTATTTTTTAAATGTAAAATAAATAAAAATAGAATTAGTCCTTAAATCTTTAATATAAAAATAAAATAAAATATATTTATTATTTTGAAAGGGAGAAAGTAGTGGTCTACAATAATTTTTTATATTAAATTAAACATAGGTCTTTTATTTATTTTTAATAAATTTGATTTGGCTTTTTAATTTTTTAGATTTAAATTTAAGATGAAAATTTAACATATTATATAAATGATAATTAAAATTTTTTTATAAAATAAAAATACTTAACAAAAATTTCATTTAAATAAAAAAT